CTTTTTCCGATGAACTAAGGTCCGTTGTCACAGCTGATTTCTTCGGGGTTGCCAAAACGGCATATAATGTTTTTCCATATGAAGGCGACGACCTCCTGCTTGCGTATCTGAGAGTATGCACCTGCTTCCACCCATTTAGAAAAGTAGTCAGTTAAAACCAAAAGGAAGCGTACCTTACCTCGTCCTGCTGGGAGGGGGCCAACTATGTCCATTCCCCACTTTATGAACGGCCATGGCGAAGTAACGGAATGAAGGAGCTCCCCTGCTTGGTGTATCATAGGGGCGTACTTTTGGCATTGTTCATATCTCCTGACATAGTCGGCGGCTTCTTTTTTCATTGTAGGCCAGTAGTATCCGGCGCGAATGAGGCATCGGACGAGGGCACGGTTTCCTGTGTGGGTGCCACAGTGCCCTTCGTGTACATCTTCCAGCACTTGCCTTGTTTGATGTGGCCCAAGACATTTGGCTAGAGGGCCGCCAAACGTTCTTTTGTAGAGATCGCCATTTACTAGGCTATACCGGGCTGCCTCGACGTGGTCTATTGCGGAATGAAGGAGGGTGACCACGTTTTCTTTGTTGATATTCTTGGTGGCCGCAGCTAGTTTGGCGAGGCCATCTTCTTCGATATTTTGCGCCCTGGGTATTTGGTCGAGGCGGCATTCATCAAATTCTGGCAGTAGTTTGTGGATTTATGACTGGTATCTTTGTAGCCTCTGCTCTTTGATTTGGAAAGTCCCGGTGACCTGATTCACCACGAGTTGGGAGTCGCAGTGGAGGACGAGTCGTCGAGCGCCATATTTGAGGGCTAACTTCAAACTTGCAATCACAGCTTCATACCCGACCTCGTTGTTAGTCATCTCGGGGTATCGTATGGACTGTCGAATTACTTCGCCTGTAGGGACCTTGAGGACGAGTCCCAGTCCCGATCCCGAGGCATTATAGGCACCACCGGTGTAGAGGACCTACAGGTCGATATGTGTAGAAGTGCAGAGTGCTTCCTGTTCTACCTCGGGCAATATTTTCGTGCAGAAATCAGCGAAAGTCTGCGAGCACCTGCGACTTGATGGCAGTTCATGGTTGGTACGTTATGTCGTGCTCGCTTAGTTCTATAACCCATTTGGCTAGTCTACCAGATAGTTCAGGTTTTTGTAGGATACCCCTTAGGGGGAAGGTTGTCACCACTTTTATGGGGTGACATTGGAAGTACGGTCTAAGCTTCCGTGAAGCTATGACAAATGCCAGAGCTAGTTTTTCAAGGTGAGGGTACCTCGTCTCGGCATCGATTAAAGTTTTGCTGACTTAGTAAATCGAAGACTGCGTACCTTTATTTTCACGGACCAAGATGGCGCTTACCGCAACTTCGGAAACTGCTAGATACACATGTAGGCATTCACCTTGGTCTGCTCTGACGAGCAGTGGTGGCGAGGATAGATACGTTTTCAGCTTTCTCAGGGTGTCGATGCATTCATCGTTCCATTGCAACCCGTGGTCTTTCCTTAGTACATTGAAGAATTTATGGCATCTATCCGAGGATAGCGAAATGAACCTTGATAGGGTGGTTATTCGTCCCGTTAACTTCTGCACCTGCTTTTTGCTGGTCAATATTTCCGGTATTGCATCGATGGCCTTGATTTGATCTGGGTTGACCTCGATTCCCCTTTGTGACACTAGGAAACCGAGGAAGTTTCCAGAAGTCGCGCCAAAGGCGCACTTTTTGGGATTCAGTTTCATTCCGTACTGCCTTAGTATTTCGAAGGCTTTCTTCAGATGACCAATGTGATCTTCTTTCTTTGCTGACTTCACTAGCATGTCATCAATGTAAACCTCCATTGTCTTACCGGGTTGTTCTTTGAACATTTTGGTGACCAACCTTTAATACATGGCCCCTGCGTTCTTAAGCCCGAACGGCATCACCTTGTAGCAGTACGTACCTTGGTGAGTGATGAAAGTGGTCTTTTCTTGATCTTCTTCAGCCATTAGAATTTGATTATAACCGGAGTACGCGTCCAAGAAGCTCAGTAGTTCGTGCCCCGCTGTTGCATCAATAAGTTGGTCGTTGTGGGGGTAACGGGAAAGAGTTCTTCGGGCATGCTTTGTTCAAATCGGTGAAGTCGACACACATTCGCCACTTCCCGTTCTTCTTTTTGACCATGACCACATTGGTGACCCATTGGGGTATTTCGATTCTCTGATGGAACCGTTGGCGAGTAATTTATCAACTTCTTCGCTGACCGCCTCATTGATTGCGGCATTGAACTTTCTCCTCATTTGTCGTACCGGTGGATAAAGTGGATCGACATTTAGCTTGTGTGTGGCTATTTCCCTTGGGATTCCTGGCATATCTGAGTGGGCAAAAGCAAATAAATCGGCGTTGTTAGTTAAAAACTCACGATACTCACCTGGCTCCGATAGGTTGTGCCCAACATAAGCCTTCTTGGTGCAGTCGGTGTTATCTAACTGGACGGGATCAAGATCTTCTACGGTTGCTTTGCATGCTTCTACAATGTCCGAATCTTTGATGGCCTCTACTTGTATGTCGGGTTTGGTGCCGGACATGGCTGACTGCTATGCTTCCGCGCTTGCCCCTTTTAGCTGTTTGGTGTGTGTGCAATATTGGGCGATCCAGTAGCATTCTTGGGCGGTACGTGGCTCGCCTCGGATGCTGAATATCCCTCATGGGGTGGGAAATTTGATCACTTGATAGAAGCTTGAGGGGACGGCTCGCATGGCGTGTATCCATGGTCGCCATATGAAGGCGTTGTAGGCCGTTTCCTAGTTCATGACGTGGAATGTTATTTCCAGGGTGACCCCTCCTACTAGGACAGGTAGCACTATTTCTCCGGATGTCCGCTCTACTGCATTATTAATACTCGTTTGTGTTATGCAATGCGGTATTATTTTATCCTCGAGCCTCATTTGCATGAGAACTCGCGGGTGAACAATACACGCGCCACTTCCGTCATCTACCATGATTCTTTTTACATCGGTGTCAGCGATGCGTAAAGTTATAACCAAAGCATCATAGTGAGGGAAAGACAAACCATCGGTATCTGACTTATCGAAGATGATACTATCTTCGAGGTCATCATACCGTTCGTGGGCGGCTTTCCGTTTGAGTTTATGCATGGTGGTGAACTTCACATGGTTGATTACCGTATCATCGCCGCCGCCAATGATCATTTGTATGGTATGCGCTGGTGATGGTGTCTTTAGAGGTCCTTGAGATAGGTCGCGCCCTCGAGCGAAGTTGGACCTTCCTTTATAGCTTAGCAGTTCTTTCAGGTACCCCTAGTTCAACATCCTAACTACTTCTTGTCGCAGACCTATGCAATCTTCGGTCTTGTGTCCTCTTTCTTGGTGGAATTCACAGAGGACATTCGACCTCCTAGTGCTTGGATCCGATTTCATCTTTTGCAGCCACTGCACCTTCGTGCCCAGTTTTTCTAGTGCGTACACTATTTCTGAAGGGGAAACACAAAAATTATGAGCAGATAGTAGTGGAGGCATACCTCTTTCGTTTCGGAAGGGTACCATGTGTCGTGGCATGACGTTCGCGTGTCGTGGAGGGGACGGGTTGGATGTGCGGATATAGGGTTGATGCCTTTCTCGATTGAAACATGGTGGTTGATCTCTTCGCCCATCGTTACGTCGATCTCTCCTTGTCTCGGTCTGGACTGATGTTAATCGCTGAAGCGGCCCATTCAGGTCATCCTCGTCTGCCCTTACCTCGGCGCAATAAGCATTGTGGATTTCTTCCCATGTGGTTGGGGGGTACTTCATGAGTCTACTGAGAAGTTTTTTGGTCGCCTTTGATCCATTCCTGTTTAACCCATTTTGAAAGGCTGCCACTGCCATCCCTTCTGACACGTTCGGTAAACTCATCCTTACTTTGTTGAATCGGGCCAGGAAATCCCGAAGTCCCTCGCCCATCGTTTGTCGGACGACGAAGATATCATTGACTCTAGCCTCGACCTTCTTCGCTCCTACATAGGCGATGGCGAATTTATCCCCATCTCTTCGAACGTCGATATCGATCGCGCTGGTAGCTGGGAGTACCATGTCAATGCTCCCCCTGTCAAAGTCTCGCCGAACTTTTTTAACAGCACAGACGGTACCTGCTCTTTTGACAGATCATTGCCCTTTACTGCAGTAACATAATGGATTAGGTGATCTTCCGGGTCCGTGGTCCCGTCATATATCTTCAAGTATGGTGGCATCTTAAAGGCCTTTGGAATAGGATGAAGAGCAGCCCCTTCGTGGTATGGCTGTTCGACGAATCGGCCCACATCACGTTTTGGTAATAGCTTCAGAGCACCCGGTATTTTGTCAACCCTCTCCTGATATTCCTTCATTTGGTCGCGGAGTGTTTTTTTCTCATTTTCCATCTCTTCCATTTTCTTTAAGATGGCCATGAGTGCATCGTCACCTGCATTAGTAACAGTGCGGGTGTTACATGTTTGTGTAGCGCTTGGCTCATTGGCGGCAGCTGCGATGTCTGTAGGTGGCACTTCTTCGACGTCTCCTTGAGTGGGTTTCTCGAGCATGTTGCTCAAAGCACTCGTTAACCATTCTTCTAGTAGCGTTTTGACTGCTGGTGGGGCTTCCCCCGCCATGGATGTTGAGGTTCCCCTTTCGCGTAAGATCGTTAGATCCCCGTGCGGAAGAGGTGAGATCTCTCCCTCCGGTGTAGCGCTTGGTGTTGAATTCTCATTGTCTTCTCTGTCGGCTTCGTTGAGGGAGTTCAGGAGATTATTCGAGACATCTGCTACCGCCTTCAGCCTCGCTTTCTTTCCCGCCATTGTTGGTTTTCATGATGTTTGAAGAAAAGTAATTATCACTTTCGGGAATCTAGATGAGAACTATGATTTCAGCTACAGAAATCCCCGCAGACGGCGCCAAATTATTTGACTCAAAAGATGTTGAGACCTTTTTGAACAAATCAATCGAAGATGAAGGGATAAATCGTAGCTGAAGATAATAATCTCTAAAATAATGATAGGTAAAAGGAAGAAAATTGAAGAGTTTCTTTTCATTCAAGATTGGTAAGTTTTTTCTCCGTCCCCCTTTACAAGGTCTTTCGTCTCCCTTATATACTAGAGATGAAACCTTCCCAATTGTAAGAAACCAAAAATACCAGGAATATTCTTAATGTACCCTAATGGGTTTACACTTCTACAAGGGTTGTACGGTTTTTCCTTTCGCCTTGGGGTCGTCTTCCTTGGGACGCCGGTTCAGAGTTACCCGGTCATTTGTCATACTCGTTATAGGTCGTGGTCGGTCAAATTTGGACCCATACATAATTTGTGTTAAGATTGGCTCGTGCCGTACTCTGGTATAAGAAGTGAACAAAAGGAATGAAATTGTCAAATTAAAAATTAGGAATATTACCCCCAAATAATCTAATTCCAATTAAGCTGACAAATACGGGGATAGCAAATAAAGCTATTGAGAGTTCAGAATGTGATGAAAGCTGAGACATTAATAAGACAAATGCTTTGTGTTGCAATTTCCGCCCATGCACCAAAGCAATAAGTACATCAATTGCTTCTGAAACATAAAATCAATGCTAATAGGTTACCAAAAGAAGAAACTGTTACTCCTAACGAATTAAGAAAATGAGCAAGTATTTTGTAAAAAAAAAAAAAACTTTATCTCAAAAATTTAATCTATTTCTACCACACTACTTAAGAAAAGAATTAGCATACAACCTTAGCATATTTGGAGCATGTCAGAAAGACTTGCCACGTCGACCTCAAAATTGGTAGCTACTATTAGTAAGTAGTGAGATAGATAAGATAATTAACTTTGGGTAACATACACCCTTACCGTTTTAGCAAAATCACAACTATGTCGTCCCTTGACTGCCTTGATTTCAAAACCCAGTAAATTAAAATTAGCATGCTTCAAAAACTCCAGTATTATGAGGTAACTCTAAAAAAAATGGTATGATCTGAAGCAGCTCCAAGAACCAGATGCTAATGAGCTAAAGGCTGAAGCTCTTATGATCTTATGGACACACCATAATCAGTGTAGCATACTATAGTTATTATCTAGTGGCATAAAAAATATTAACAAAATTGGCAGTCATGAGAGAGACGAAGAAGCTTGAAATTAAAGTCATAGGACACATAGCATACAATGGGAATGAAGAGAAATGGATCAGCCAGATTCTGAAGAAAAAGGAAAAAACCTAGAACACCAGGCAGTAACTTTGCAGGTGACAACTTAAAAGTTAAAAGTATTGAAGATTCTAATATGTAACCAGCTATTAAAAAAGAATTTATGTAAAACACTTTATAAAGGATCTATGTAAAAAAGTTCATAGACAAGGAGATATATTTTTGTACAAGTTGCGTATTAGCTCGCATATCAATATTCAACTTGCAGATATTATTGACGTGTTAATAAAGCATGAAGAATAACTTAGTAATGCAGGAATTATGGACTACAATAGGAAAATAGTAAACAGGTAAACTAACCTAATATGACAGTAGCAAAAAATAACTACAACAACATCCAAAAGGCAGCAGAAAAAGTGGCATCAACCGTTTTGAAAAACATCAGCAAAAGTGGCTTCAATCACATCCATAAGCAGCACAGGTGTACGTGCTCAATGTAGGAAATTTTCAACTTCTACTCATAGTTCTCCACCTTTTCAGAGCTCAAATCCAGCAAATCCTTTTAAGAAAAAGGATGATAGCAATTAAAAAGCGATGCAATCTGATATAAATAGCTGGTATAGATACAGAGTTTAAAATAGACGCAAATATTATAATCTACGACTATAATAACTATAGGATAATCACACAGATCATGTGCGTGCTATTGGGAGCTGTAGTAAAGCTACATTTAAAGTTGATAGACTTGTTGAACTAAGAAACTAAAAGTCACAACTTTTGGTTTTGAGTGTGGTGAGGAGCTATTTTTGAAACTTCTAACACAATAAATGACTAAACCTAGATACTTCTAAAGAGAAGATACATAGTGTGCACATGTTCAATATGCTAAGATAGTAGCAATTTCATATTCATCATCAGTAGCCTTCCATTTGACAAGATATTTCACTTGAAAAGCACATAGTAGAAAAATAGTGAAAAAAGAATTTAGAAGATAGAAACATAACGCATAAATTGCATACTCCTCACTACTTGTTAGGTCCTTGAACCTAGATAGGCACTTTGGTATAAGGGACGTTTCCATTACATTGCATTGCATCTCGTCACACCTCCTCTGGCACGAGGTCACATTTAGCTCAATCAATTTCTTCTTGGAACTGTATTTTAGACACCAAATGATTAAACATAAAAATATCACTTAAACATATCTCACTTCAATTTATACTCTATCCAGAAGGTCAGAAATGTGAATCACTCATTTATCTGACATACACTCTATAAGCCATGAGGTTGCCTTCTCACAGCTATTTCCTCAGGAATAATATTCCAATACATGTGAAACCAATAAGTACCCATCAGCTTATTTCATAAAATACAATTTTAATACTCCACTCAATAAAATATACGACCCTCCATTACAAATTAAAGCAGCCACAAAAACTTGTTATAGTTTATCTTGGAAGTGAGAAGTTCATCTGTTACCTCTCAAATATAAGCTACCTATTATCCATTACTAGCTCCCTCTTCTTCTTGAATTTCACAGGAGAGAACAACTCTTGCATGATTTAAATCGCACCTTTTCTGGCTCCTCATTAAACAACAACTCCTCACACTTGATTTCATGAAGAACTGCAAATCTGCTCTCCAGTAACAACTAAGAAGCGATTCATTAGAGTTAGTTACACTTTATTTTTGAGTTAGCTGTGAGACTCTAGTGCAACAAATCAATCAATGAAAAGTTATAACCAGTGAGCAATACACATTATGAACATAACAAACTCTTTAATAGCAGGGAGAACATCAAAGAAGGTTGAAGAAACTTGTCTTACCAAGAACATCATAAGAGCAAGACAACTTGATATAAACCAGGTAAAAACTCTACTGAGATCTAATTTAATGGACATTTTTGCCATATTACATACAACTCATGAATCAAATAGCGCAGTTTAGGTTTGCGATTATTAGGTTATAGAAATTATTGAAATTCATTAACTAAAAGCATGCCCAAATGAACAATAACGTAAACAAACACTAATGTAAACTATCAAGCCTGTATGTATTTATCGATATACTGCAACTGAACCACGATATCTAAAGTTAAGGGCCATATGGTAGGAACTTAAGGCTAAAGTCTTTCCGTGTCACATGTACCATTGTTACAACAACCCGACTACAGTAAGGCAAGAGTAGGCATTGTTTTTGTTGATCGGTGGCACTCAAAAAAAGATAACTGAAATCAATGTATTTTTTCAATAAGGTCTTAGGCTACATTATTAAAGCAAGGCAAGCTGTGGTTACTTGATATGAGAAGTTCCACATTTGTCCAAAAGCGCATTTTCTTTTTCGTCCTAGTAAATAGGCTATTGTGAAATATTCTGTATAAATAAGTAAAGGTAAAAATCTCATTTTACTTTATGTTTTTTTTATTGGCTTTCCCAAATCTTTCATCAGAACTTCGGGTCATTGTTGACCGATCATTATGACAAGCTGGACACATATTAGTCTACTTAGTATTGGCTAGTATATAGATGAACACATTCGTATTGAGTTATATTCCTTTACATCTCAACTTATGGAATTGCTAGTTGTTTGTATCATCACGAAATTGGATCGTAAATATATTATTAGCAAGAAATACAGAGCTAAAAAGTAAATTGACCACTATTGCACTATTTTTCGCCAAGTATATTGTCACATTTTAAGTGATACTATCATACTATGGACATATGTTTTACAATTTCACTTAAAAAGAAACTAAATTTTGCTGAGGAGCTTCAGCGGATAGGAGACACAATTATCGCCCACAAGTACACAGTGGCAAACATCCGATCAAGTTGCCTATACACACCTTTTTATCATATAGGTTCTTAAGTTTCCTTTTCACTTAATTAATCTATATTATTATAAAAGCATGAATACAATATCTGTTTACAAAAATAACCTTATAATATTAAGCATAATAACTTATAATAAAACATAACCTGAATTCTAGATATTAGCCTTATAATCCTATTAGTTTTAGGACATAATACTACACGTTATGAATTCTAGAAAAGCATGAAAAAGTAATACTTACAGTTAAAAGTTCATAAGCATTCTACAATTTAAACTTCAAAAGAGATGGTGAAAACCAGAACGACTTTTTCGTTGCTTGGCATATAATCACTATTCACATATTTATTTTAGAAATTGTGCTATACATATATGTAATATCCAGATTTTGTGTAAATATCTTACATTCGCCACCCCCAAAAATATGCACATGCATATATCATTGATTAATTTATCTATCTATATCTATATTTATTTATATCTATATCTATCAATATCTATATCTATATCTATATTATTATAAAAGCACGAATGTTCTGCGTTAAATGTTGAACGACCAAAATATCCTCCAAATATTGATCGACTTGTACGTCCTTTATTAATTAGAGATATCTCTATAATATTAATGTGCTAAAACGTAAAAGTACTTCATTATTTGTAGAGTTCAAGTCAAATTGTAAAACCTTAAAAATTATGCCTCATAATATGAATTCATCCAAATCAATGATTGTGTTCAAGTGAAATTGGAAGTCTTCCGCTTCTGGATATTAAGAGAGTCTTGAAATAAAGCAAATCAAACCAGCTCATGATTATGCCCAAGTAATACCCTTTTATTATTCCCGATTCAAATCAACGGCAAAGCATAACAGAAGAAAGATGTAAAGCAATTTGTATCCAAACTAGGAGCTCATGATTCTTGCCGAGTTCATAGAATGCTTGGATTTAGCTTTACAATTGGAAGTTTTAATTATGATTTAAACAATAAATATTAAAGCACAGGGGTTAGCAATCCCAAAAATTAGATTGTATTTGTCGCTATATGTTTTCTCACACGAATACCTATATATTTTACTTTTCGGAGAAAAATTAATGTCGTAAATAGATCAAGATGGAGTAACCAAAGAATCAAAAGGGAAAATACACCCAAAATATCATCTATAAAGAAAGTATTAGATAAGATACGATCTCACTACATATTTCTATGATATAAATAGATATACTATCTAATTAACTTAACTAAATTACTTATATTTGCATTTTGACTTCAAGTATTAAAACGATTTTTGCCTCTTCGATTTTTCACTTCAATTGCTATATTAAAAAATTCATATAAATAATTGATTAAATATTTACCTGCAAAGCAGGTACATAGAGACTAGTATATTAAAAGAAAAAGTATCAGTCAATAATATTTATTTTTTGATCAAAAAAACTACAAACTTTGTAAAATAAATCTAATACAAACACTCCCGGCAAAAAAACAAAGATAATGGTTGTACTCGGAAAAAGAATTGCATGCTAATATTTCCAAAAGCATATAAACAAATAAAAAGAATTTCATCAGCGTAAGCGGTAAGCGACTGGTTTTAAGCAAATACATGTAGCCTGGTATGTAAAGGCCTCAAGAAATAATTATAAAAATTCCTAAATAAAGATTTTTTTTTTTTAAAAGTCGAACTCACCGCAATCGAGAACAAAAAAGCCTTGGTGCCCATCATCAATTTCCCATTCAAGTATCTAACAGATAAATCAGTGATGAGCAAAGGAGATAAGAATAGAGCCAGTTCGAGCTCCAAGGAGAAGAGGTTCAAGGAACCGAACAACAGAAGAGGAAGATAACAAAATAACCTTGCAATTCCTATTAGCTATAGCTAATTAGTGCACTTGATCCTCTCTCAATCTTGATGATAGAGAAAAAAGCGTAATATCTGAAAAGGAGATTTCAGAGGAAAGATCGAGAAGTTTGATTAGGAAGGGAATAATATAGAAAACGTGGCAGATTTCAGGAAGACACGTCTCACATGAGTGTATTAAAAGTCGCAATTACCCTTAGCTTTAATTTTATTGACAAGAAGGAGCCAGGTCGAAACCGTGGCTCTTCTATAATACTAGTAAGTGATGGCCCGGGCAAGCACGAGCCCAATAGTGTGAAGCTTTGTTGGGTCATCACTTGTTTTAAAATGAAATTCTGCATTCCGAGACTTTAAAACCTCTTTTAGCATCACCTCGATTTGCGTGTGCAGTCCGAGCGTGTAGTCGGAAAGCCTATATGTGAAAATATGTGAAAAATGATAAATTTTGACTATAAAATGAATTAATTTAACTTCGGTCAACGTTTTGGGTAAACGGATCTGGACCCGTGATTTGACGGTCCCGGAGGGTCCGTAGGAAAATATGGGACTTGGGCGTATGCCCGGAATTGAATTCCGAGGTCCCAAGCCCGAGAAATGAATTTTTGAAGAAAATTATTTTCTGAAATTGTTTATAAGGTTTGGAAATGAATTTTGATTAGAACATGTTGGTATCAGGCCCGTATTTTAGTTCTGGCACCCGGTACATGTCTTATATGTGATTTTAGATAATTCTGTGAAGTTTGGTAAGAAACGGAATCCGTTTGACGTGATTCAGACCTTAAATGCAAATTTTGATGTTTAAAGAAGTTTTGGGAAAATTTTATTGATTTTGAGGTTTAATTCATAGTTGTTGATATTATTTTAGTAATTTGAATGCACGAGCGAGTTCGTATGTTGTTTTTAGGGTGGTGTGCATGTTTGGCTTGGAGCTCCGAGAGCTCGGGTGGGTTTTGGATAGGCCGTGGGGTGAAATTTTGGACTTAAGGAATTGCAGGCCTGCAGGCTTCGCATTTCCCAACCTCCCTTTGCAATTCGCAGTTCGCATTTCCCAACCTCCCTTCGCTATTCCCAGTTCGTATTTCCCAACTTCCCTTCGCAATTCCCAAGCCAGCAGAGGTCGAGGTTCGCAATTGTTCGCAATTCACATACCTGAGGCCTGCAACTTTTATACTTAGATGATTTTAAACCAATTTTTCATATCCTCTCAAAACATAAACACACTAGAGCGATTTTTCAAAGGCTTCTTCTTCTCCAAATCAGTTGTAAGTCGTTTTTAACTAGTTTTCTTCGATCATTAACATCTTTTAGCATGATTTCAACTTAAAATCAATGATTTTCATAAGGGAAATTGGGTGTTTTGGGTTAGACCTAGGTTTTCAAAAATTGGGGATTTGGACCTCGATTTGAGGTCCGATTTCAAAACAAATTATATATTTGGGTTCGTGGGGGAATGGGTAATCGGGTTTTGGTTCGAACCTCAGGTTTTGACCATGTGGGCCCAGGGGCGATTTTTTGACTTTTTGGGCAAAACTTTAGAAAAACTCATTTTTATGCATTGGGGTTGATTCATTTAGCGTTTATTGATATAATTAAGTAACTTGTGACTAGATACGAGAGAATTGGCGGTGGAATCAAGGGGTAAAGCTATAATTGAAACTTGAGTTGTATTCGTGGCATCGAGGTAAATGTTTTGTCTAATCTTAGCTTGAGGGATTAGGCGTTGCGTCTTATTTACTACATGTTAATTGTGGAGTACGACGTATAGGCATGGTGACGAGTATCTATACGTTGGTGTCAAGCATGCCCGTGAGTCTTGTATTATAATTGTTATGATTCCGTTGTGGTTTATTACGCTTCATATGTTATTATCACCATTGTTCCCTTGCCGGGATGTTTGTTTGATATTAATGATCCCTTGCCGGGATGGTTGTTTTGATAGTATTGTTCCCTTGCCGGGATGTTTGTTAAGATATTATTGTTCCCTTGCCGGGATGTTGTTGAGATATCATTGTTCCCTTACCGGAAAGTTGTTATATTGCTCTTGTTCCCTTGCCGAAATTCCTTGTGATTATTGTTAGCTTGTAACTGGGAGCGGGTGGTACGCCTACCATAAGATATAATGAAATAGGAGCGGGTGGTATGCCTACCATAAGATATAATGAAATAGGAGCGGGTGGTACGCCTACCACAAGATAAGTGAAATGGGAATGGGTGGCACGCCTGCCACGAGATACATGAAATGGGAACGGGTGGCACGCCTGCCACGAGATACAAGAAATGGGATCGGGTTGCACGCCTGCAACGAGATGTGGAAAGAAAGTGAAATCTACCTTTGTTTTCCTTATTCTTGTTAGTGGTTGGATGTTGATTCCTTTATAATTTTCTTGATATTCTATTTTTACCTGTTATTCCCGAAGCATGTTTCCCACTCCCATCTTTATTTGTTTATTTCTGCTTTACTTCCCTTTGTATATTATATAACTGCATATGTTTATTTGGTAGTCTGGTCCTAGCCTCGTCACTACTTCGCCGAGGTTAGGCTAGACATTTACCAGCACATGGGGTCGGTTGTGCTGATACTATACTCTGCACTCTTTTGTGTAGACCCCAGTGTTGTGGACTTCGGACCGCAGTGAGATTGTTGACTCTTGATCATCAGGCGACCCGAGGTAGTCCTGCAGGCATCCGAAGGCCTTGGCGTCTCCTTCTATCTAATATTCTTGTTTCTTTCATGCATTTCTAGAGACAGTGTTGTATTTATTTCTTTCAGACCCTTTATCTGTAGTATTCTTAGACCGTCTGTGAAACTGTGACACCAGTTCTGGGTAGTCGAGACTCAAACAGTTGTATTAGATATTCATATTCAGATAACTTATTGTTTTTCTTCCGCTTATGTTAAATTCTGTTGTTTAAATGTTATTACTTCGAAATTGTTAATGAATATAAAATAGGTAAAAAGGTAAATTGTGCAATTAATTGGCTTGTCTAGCTCGTATTAGTAGGTGCCATCACGGCTCCTGAGGGTGAGAAATCCGGGTCGTGACAAGCTTGGAATAATTATGTTTGATTAGTTTTATGGGAAAAGTACAGAAATAGCCAATTTAAATACAAACTTACCAACCTCTAGCCCAAAATCAGACACTTACCCAAGGTAGCCCAAAATTAGAGATACATGTAATGAAGGATTCTTCTATCCGAGAATCACGCTAAAGATCTTCCTTCCTTCCCTGTTTTTTCAAGCGTATCAATTTAACAGATCACGACATTCTCTACCTTTATAAATCACGGCATTCTCTCTCAAAAAATTCTCAAAATGAGCTCCAAATTTCACTCAAAATCGATCAATTTCACTATATACCTTCGCAATTTTTGTGTAGATACAGCTTTTGCAATTTCTGTGTAGAAGGAACTACGAACTGCAATCAAAATCAATCCAGGAATTAGTGAGTTTTGACCTAATTTCAGCTACTTCAATGGCAAATTTACCAATTTTCATTCAGTATGGTGGTCGATGGAATGTTGACAACAGCTTTGTAGATTATAATGTAGATGCTGTAATAGTTACTACAAATATAAGTTTTGAAGATTTTGTAGACGTGATTTCGAAACAACTTATGATAGATACTTCATCGAATGATATTGAAATCAAATACACTATCCAAAACAGTTCTCCGCCAATAGTGATACACAATAGTATGGGTGTATGTGTATATCTTGAGCTGAAAAAAAAAGCTCAGAATTTACAATGTATCCCCTTTGTAAAACATCGAGTGAAAAGGATATTGACAATCTGCTACAATTCAATTCTGCTACGATTTCCTCAGAATATGCACAAAGCTTAGTTGTAAAGGAGAGATACAATGGCGATACAATTAAGATGATCGAGTTTGGGGATGGAGAGAATGATACAGAATCTGATGAAAATACAATAATAACTGACCCCCAACACATAGATGTAGAAGAAGGTCAAATTTCTAAAGACAAGGCAACGATAATCAAAGTCATGAGGCACTTGGCAGTAAAGGAAAAATTTCAGTTTAAGGTGCATAGATCAACTGAAAGCAGGTATCAAAATATTTATTGTATAATTATGTATCTCAATGTATATCGTAGTTGATGTTAGAAGCATAATTATGTAGAAAATAAGTTGTTGTTTGTAAGTATGTGGTTGTACACTTTTAAGTTGTGATTGTCATCGTCTAGTACTGTATAGTCGTTGTATTTTTTCATCTAGTATTGTTGATGGCAGTGTGTATCACTATATATCATTGTATTTCATGTCGCTCTGTTTATTGATGGAAAAGTTTACATCCTTGTCGTAGGTACTGCCTAGTATGCATCAACAACAACTGTGATTGGTATTTTAAGTCTTCGAGCCTGAAAAGAGCAAACGTTTTCAAGGTTAGAAATTTCAGCAAAGTGCACTCATGCCCCATGAAAGACAGATCTTACGCACAACGTCAAGCTACTGCAAAACTCATCGGCAGTCTTCTGATAGACAAGTATAAAGACCCAAAAACAATATACACTCCTAATGACATAATTGGAGACATGAACAAGCAGTATGGTCTTCAGATGACATATATGCAAGCATGGAGATCGAAAGAATATGTAGTTCAAGTACTGAGAGGGAACCCGAGCGAATCATATGAAAAGCTGCCAAGCTAATTTTATATGCTGGTTCTTAAAAATCCTATGTCGGTGGTAAGTTTGAAAAAAACAGAGGAAGAATTGTTCATGTATGCTTTCGTTGCACTATATCCGTCTATAAAAGGATGGCAGTATTGCAAACCGGTTGTTGTTGTAGATGGAACCTTTCTTAAATCGGCATATAAAGGAACATTATTGATAGCATCAACACAAGATCCAGCAGGTAATATCCTACCACTCGCATATGCCATAGTAGATTCAGAGAATAATGCTTCCTGGGAGTGGTTTTTTGTGAGATTCAAGGATGCATTTAGGGAAAGGGATGGAATTTGCATAGTCTCGGATAGGCATGAAGGCATTGAAAATGCAGCGGCAACATTGTATCCACAAGTACCTCATTGTGTCTGCATATGACATCTATGGAATAATGTAAAAAAAATTACAAAAAAAACATTTGTTGCTCAAAGACATATTCTTTGTTATGGCCAAAGCATACACAGTTGAGAAGTTTGATTACCACATGGCAGAGGTAGAGAAAATTGATAAGAGGGTCAAAGATTACTCAATGAATGTTGGGTATGAAAGATGGTCTAGAGCACATTCTACTGTTAATAGAACATTGACGATGACTTCAAATATTGCGGAGTCGATCAATGCAGCTCTCAAGGCTGCTAGGGAACTCCCAGTACTACCTTTGCTAGACTACATGAGGAAATTGATCGGACGATGAAATGTTACAAACCTAAAGAATGCAGTAGAGTCATTCACTGATCTTCGTAAAAATATGATACAATGCTGATGGATAATCTTGAATTGTAACATCAGATGAAGGTATGACTGGAATCTGCAGATACTTGCGCATAGAATATGTAATCATGCCGAATTCACGAATCTGTTATATCTTGAACCCTTTGTGTGATTCTATTAAACTAGTGTCAACCTACACAAAAGCAAAGGCTTTCAATTTAATGTAGCATTTATGCCTACCCCACTCCTGAAATATTGGTTGGCTTGATATGATATTAAGCTATTTTGAATCTTGTAGGCTTTCTAGTATATATATTTTGAGGGCATCTGCTTTGTCACCACTAATGATAGTTGTTAAATTTTATAGATGACTCCTTCGACGAGTTACTTATATTCAGTACTTGACAAGGGTAAGCAGAGAATAGTGTTCCTTAAAGATCGAACTTGCAGTTGTAGAAGGTTTCAGTTAGATGAGTTGCCATGTGCACATGCTTGGGCAGTATTCAATACAAATACATTGATCACATTGAGTATTGCTCAGTGTACTACACCATGAAGTATCTATTGAAGACCTATGAAATTTCAATTTATCCGGTCCCTGATGAAAGCACATGGGAAATTCCTGCAGAAGTTCTAAATGAAAAAGTCTTGCCACCAGACGTAACTAAAACAATAGGAAGGCCAAGGAAGGGGAGGTGCAAGCCAATATCTGAAAGGGAACGAAAAAGGTCGATTTCATGTGGACAGTGTGGAGAAGAAGGTCACAACAGGAAAACTTGTAAAAATAATCTAAAGAGAGAATGAAATATGTCAAATTTAGAATTACTTGTTATTTTACTTTACTGAATATCATAGAGATTTAGAACAATGCAATATATCAAGAACTATATCATTGTAGAATGTCATTTGAATTTTAGATATAAATAAATATTTGACCTATCATTTAAAATCGTGTTGCAAGTTTATATTATACATTTGTTTGATTAAAAAGAAGTTGTATCTATGTATCATATTTGTATCATATATGTATCACTTGTGCATCACATTTGTATCATCTATGTATCACTTGTGTATCACCTATGTATCTCTGTGTATAGGCTCTTACTCATGCCTGTATTTGTGTATTAACAAAGCTAACTAATGGAAAACAGTTGTAGCAGCTAGAAAACTATGCAAATAGTTTTAGAAATTTGCAAATAAGAGTGACTTCATCAATACATATTTGAAAACTGTGTATCATATGTGTATCATATATGTATCATACATGTATCTGCAAGAGACAATGTATCACAAACTACCGTATATTTTTCATATATGTAATTCACAACACAAAATCAAGGGAGAAAACACCAAAATAAACTAAACTGCAATAATCCAATATCGCATTGAAACTCATTAAACATTTATAACAGAGCAAACATCTCATTTGCCATACAATTATTAAAGTATTCATAAAATTCAAACACAAACAAATCTGATCTGTCTTACAACAATGACAACATAACAGAACACAATACAAAAATAAAATTATAGAGTTCATCCTACAATAATGACAAAAGTAACTACTTTTGCTTCCGCGACTTATTCTGTCGACCAATAATCTCATCATCACTTTGCGTGTTCAGTTCCATCTTCTTTCTAGCATAATCCCACAAGAGAGCACCACGCCGGTGTGCATAGGCATGGAATTTTTAAGGAGGCATCTTGCCCTCAATGAAATACTCGGCAAATGATGTCGCAAATACACCGCAATCACTGTAAAAATAAAAAGAACAACAACTATCAAACTGCAGAATCTAAAAACAAGACAGATTGTGTTGAAAGAAATTCATACGCTTCGACTTGTTGAGGCAATCCTTCGCCTTGTTGAGGCAATCCTTCGACCAGTTTACATCAAAGGGGGTAATCTAAGTCTTTTGATTTGTAGACACTAGTGCGCCAATTGATATCTTTTTTGTTTAAATAGAAATGTGTGTGCACGAAAAAATGAGGCAGCAACACAGAATACTTGACCATGGTCTTATGAACTTTGGCTTGATGAGAAGCTCCACCGTGCATAGAGTCATACACATAAATGCACCTATCCTTGAAGGACATCACAACCATTATCCATTGCCATTGTTCTGCAACATTAATTAACATTAAGACATGCTCGACAGTGTGCCATGGAACATTGGCATCCAAGACAAACCCCTGAGTATACTCTGCAATGACATGTTTCGGAGTGCACATATCACTGTCTCCATCTGTATCAATAAACGCCTACCACAACTCATTAATTTTCTCGTCAAAGTACCAATCTGTGGTGGTGAATGTTACAGGTAGGTCTTTGTCATACTTCCCCTTCTTCCTCAGATAATAGAACAAAACATCAATGTGCTGAAACAAAACATAACAAATAACTAATCACTAAAGGCTCGTAAACTTTAAGCAGCTATGATTTTTCAAACCAAAATCACATAAAACAAAGGAAAATGAATGCTCACTGCTATCTCTTGTGCCAGGAAATAGCAATTAATAATCTGTTCTAACTTAAGAGGAATGAGTGTTCATGTGTACACTGGCTAAAATTTTAAAAAAAATACTGCAAAAGTTAATTCTTACATACCGAGTCATCCAAGGGCTGACCATTATATGCCAAAGTGTAAAACCATTTTTTGTTTTCAACATGATATACACCAAGATCATAAGCATGATTAAGTTCACTAACATGCTTCGGGTAAATTTCATTCCTGGTAACATATATACACAAAAGAGTACAATGATTTGATATAAAATAATGCTATAAGTGACAATATATTAAAATATAAAACTGAAAAAAACTCAGAAGTTGGAAACATACTTTTTTTTGGACTTCCCTTCTTTGACCCACGCAGCAAATACATTCAACAAAGAGCTGTTAACGCCAGTTCCAATTTTGCTTTGAAAAGGATGCTTAATAGCATAAATTTGCTTTTTTCCTTTCACTGCAACAACAGTAGTACTGGAACCTGAATCAAATACAGTAATGAACGGAGACTGCACGACCTTTGCAGGACATCTCTTTCTTTTTCCATTTGCTGCGATACTTCAAGAAGTAATTCAGGATTGTACAAAACCATCTCCCCTGCCGCCTCATCAACACTGGCAGTCGCACAAACAGCACCAGTTCGAGATTCAGGAACCTTTTGTTTCTCAGATTCTTCCTCCGTCTCCCCTGCCGCCGCATCAACACTTGCAGTTGCACAAACAACACCAGTCCAGGATTCAGGAACTTTTTGTTTCTCAGATTCTTCCTCCGACTCCCCTGCCGCCGCATCTGCAATCTCACCAATAACGCCAGCATGTGCTACATCTGGTGTGAAAGTGTAATGACCCGGCCAGTCGTCTCATGAGTTACCGCTCTGTTTTTTTCATTTCTGCTTCTTTATGCTTTGTTTATCTGTATTATGTGGTCTCGGGTTGGTCGGATCGAATCCGGAATGAATTTGGTAAGGTTTGAGACACTTAGTCTCTTTTGAGGAAGCTTAAGTTGAAAACGTCAACCGGGTGTTGACTTATGTATTAGAGGGCTCGGATGTGAGTTCCGATAGTTTGATTAGCTTCAGTAGGTTATTTATGACTTAGAAGCTTGATCGAAATGAGTTTTGGAGGTTCGGAGTAGATTTAGGCTTGAATTGGCGAAGTTGATATTTTGGCGATTTCCGGTTGGTAGGCGAGATTTTGATATAGGGGCCAGAATGAAATTTCGAGAGTTGCAATAGCTTCGCTAAGTCATTTGGGATGTGTTTGCAATTTTTCAGGTCATTCGGACGTGGTTTGGTTGAGTTTTTGATGAAAAACAGAATTTGGAAGATTTTAAAAAGTTTGGCTTGAATCCGATGTGTTTTAGGTGATTTGATGTTGTTTGAGATGTTTTGATGATTGGAACAAGATTGAATAAGGTTTTAGGATATGTTGGTGCCTTTGGTTGAGGTCTCGGGGGCCTCGAGTGAGTTTCGAGGGGTTGAACGGATCATTTTGGAGTTAAGAAAATTGCAGAAGTTGCAGGTTCAGCTGTTGCAGGTTTTACTCTTCGCGTTCGCAAGCGGACCCTCGCGTTCACCAAAAGTCAGTGGAATATTGGCCTTCACATTCGCGGAGGGCTGGGAAGTGAAGCATCGCGTTCGCGAGAAGGGCTTCGCGTTTGCGTAGAAGAATTGGGTCACCCGGGTTAGTATGCATCGCGTTCGCGAGAGGCATTGTCGCGTTCGCATAGGTTTGAGAGGATGAAGCATCGCGTTAGCGATAGTAGGGTCGCGTTCGCGAAGGAGAGTTTTGGTCAGCGGAATTTTTGTGCTTCGCGAACGCGAGGGTTTGACCGCGTTCGCGAAGAAGAAATAAATGCCTGGGCAGAATATTTTTAAGCTCATCTTGTCTGCGATTTTGAGGTTTATTTCCTCGATAGTTGGTCATTTTGGGAGATTTTGGAGGAGATAAAAGAGAGATTCAAGGGGAATCATTGGGAGGTAATATTCTCGGACTTAAAACTCGATTATTATGTGAATTCCACCTAGAAAATCATGGAGATTAAGCTAAAAATTGAAGAACTAGGGCTTGGAAATTTGGACTTTTGATTGGGGATTTAGAGGACCATTAGGGGTCGGATTTGAGAACTTTTGATATGTATGAACTCGTGGGAAGATAAGGAATCTATTGGTGTAAAAATTTCTGAATTTTGAGATGTGGACCCGGGGGTCGGGTTTTGGTAATTTCAGGATTTGTACCATTTATTGATTGTTTTCGCTTGGGCTTCGTTCCCTTAGCATATTTTGACGTCCTCGTTCTGATTTTGGATAGATTCGACACGTGTGGAGGCCAATTCGAGGGGAAAAGGCGTCGCGAGCTAGAGATTTAGCCGGTTCAAGGTGAGTAATGATTGTAAATGATGTTTTGAGGGTTTGAAACCCCGGATTGCACATCGTAGTGCTATATTGAGGTAAGTCACACGCTTGATGGCGAGCGTGGGGTCGTGCACTATTGGGGATTGTGACCTAGTCCGTCCCGATTGATGATTTGCCGCGTATTTGATTGAAAACGGCTTGCTATCATCATTATTTGGGTTGAATGTCATATTTGGGCTTCGTGCCAACTGTTTGAACCCTTCGAGGCTTTTTACTGATATTTCCTCGCTGTTTGACTTTATATTTGAACTTAGTCATGCTATTTTCCCACTGTTTTCATGCTCAGCCATGTTTACTCAGTTTTATTACTTAAATGATATTTTTAATGATGTTTGGGTTGAGAAATACTGTTTTACTATTGCCCGAGTGGCTTGTGAGGATTTTCGACTGAGTAAGGCCGAGGGCCTATATTGTAAGGAAACATTGATACTGATATGAGGCCGAGGGCCTAATTTTGATGCCACGAGATGACTTGTTATTGCGCTTGGGCCGTAAGGGGCCCCTCCAGGAGTCTGCATATCCCAGTAAGCGCGGGTACCCATTGTGATGTGAGATTGAGCCCAAGGAGCTGGTATTGTTCTATGTGATTGCCCGAGGGGCTGGTATTGTTCTGAGATATTGCCCAACGGGCGGATTTGTTGATATTGTACCCGAGGGACAAGCCTTTATGTGTTTACTTTTCATAATTGACTGTCAATTACCTGGTTAATCATTGGAAAGGGCTTCTCACGAAGTTAAATTTTGAGTTAAAGGATTTTACCTATCTTTCATTGTTTTACTGTTTTGAAATGGTTTTACTGCTTCATTACAGAAGCTTTGTGCCTTACTTGATTTCCTGCTTTCAGTCTTTATTTACATTTGTTACTCACTGAGTTGGAGTACTCACTTTACTCCCTACACCCTATATGCAGATTTAGGCGTAGCTGGTTCCGCTCCCGAGTGCTGATCCCTCCAGCTTCAGGCGGACATTCGGAGCTCACGAGGTAGTTGCTTGACGTCCGCTGCCCTGTGTCTATACTCCTTTATCAGTTCTATCTTTCTTTTCAGACAGTTGTACTAGTTTATAGACTTAGTGGATTGTATTTTGACTTATAGATGCTCATGACTAGTGACACCCCGGTTAGGGCTGTGTTGGGTTGTACTTCCGCACTTTATTGATATTATCCGCTATTTAGTATTGTTAAATCATGTTTTAGACTGCTTTTATATTGTTTAATTGTTTAAAAAGTGAATTGGGTTTAATTGGCTGGCCTTGTCTTCACGAGAGGCGCCATCACGACCGGGTCCGGGTTTAGGGTCGTGACAGAAAGTTACTTTAGCAACAAACATGTCAACTTTCACACCATAAGGTCCTTCTATAGCATTGACATCTAACTAATCTATTATACTAGTATCTCTTTGAGAATGTGGAACATCTTTGCCTTCACTTCCACCGACCTATTTTTTTTTAAAAAGAATCGAATTATCAAAAACAACAAAGAAAAGAAAAGGAAAAAGTCCAGAATGCACAACTAAACACACCTGACAACCATCCATTTCAACATCTTCATTGCCACCAAACTCCATATTGCTCACAAAATCATTATTGTCTTGACGACCACTGGTGTCTTCCTCTGGATGTGCACCATATTTGACTTTGCTTGCACCAAGCTATTTTTAAAAAAAGGATATAGTAAGTTAACTAAAAAATAAAAAGAAATGCACAACGGAAAAGAAACACATACCTTGGAATTTATCAACTCAAAGAGCTCCTTGAATTTATCAGAAACATAATCCATGAAGGAATTTAACTGCTTATGGAGCTACAAGATGAAACAAATAAGAAAGATAATAGACTTTGAATATACAATTTGAACAATACTTTCAAAAAAAAATATAAAAAAGACCAATACATATTTGCTTCACATCAACTTTCAACTTCTGCAACTCACGGTCATAATCAACAGGTTAGACATCTGGCACATTTTTTGGCACCTTTTTTGGTGGGGGCATGCTCCTTAATGTGTTTCGGGGGTGGCGTGACAATATCATCGCTATCATCAATAGGAAGTTTTCCCCTGTTATGTGATGTCAAATATTTCTGATACTCATCGGTAACTTCAACAGGCAAAGTAAATCTTCATAGCTCTTCAATTGTCGGAGAGATATTTTTAAACTACAAAGGTAACCAAAAGTGATTCAGTCCTAGATGTATCAAAGATGTATAAAAACTGTATGTTTGATGTATCATAATGAATTACAGTGTATTATAAATGTATATCCCATCAAGACATAAAAGATGGTACCTTATTCCCTGTGATGTTGAAGAAACCATTAGAGAAGTCCTCACGCGTTGGCTTCCCAATTCATGATGCGTGGTGTATGATCTCCAACGCGAACAACAAACTTTTCATCAACTACAGTGCAACATTCATAGAACCACACCTGTAGTGCAAGAGGAAATCCACCAATCCTATAAAACTCAGACTTTCCCCTCAACCTGTCCCTCACCGACTTCATTAAAGCCCGAAACGCAATCTTACCCCATGGAAACGACACATACTCACCACTCTCGACAAGGTGAAAATCACGTCTACTTATAAATGTCTTCTAAGCCTGAGTGGACATTAGAATGTGTTTATGAAATAAATGATTGCAATCTTAACTGCGTCTTCATCAGACTGTCATTTCTTCTTCTCAAAACAATCAATAAGTGACTTCTTTGACACCGCTTCAAAACCAGAAAAATAAGTATCCACCAACTTATTGGGTCCACTGAATTTACCCTCAACATATTCATTACCACAACAGTTTAAACCACTTACAATACCAAATTCTCGAAAACCAAAACGTAAAACACATTCGCCATTCAATTTCACATAAAATTGATCACACTTATCTTGAACCAACTCCCTAAACATTAAAGAACGAATAAGTTGTGCCTGGATAACAACTCGAGGTAAATCAAGGAAATAGCCAAAACAGCTTTCCCTAAACATCCGAAGCTGGACATCAGTCAACTTTGATTATAAAACAGATACAATGTCCACATTAGTGTATGATGACCAATGAGTAACAGGAAACGGCTCACCAACTGGA